TGTCATTTTCTCCACTTCAAAGAAAAAGCAGTCTTGAGGTCTTGAAGTGGGAAAAATAGCAAGTTTTTCAAAAAGACTAGTGGATTTGTATTTTTTAATATTTGTTATTATATTTTAAATTCTATTGTCATCTTTTACGATCTAAAGAAATAGTAGTTTCAAAGTCTTAAAGTAACCAAAATAGCAAGATTTTTAAAAAAGATTAGTGTTTTGTAATATTTATTATCATATTTTGAATCCTATTGTTATTTTCTATACTCAAAAGAAAAAAAATAGTCTCAAGGTCTTAAAGTAAAATAAACAACAAGATTTTCAAAAAAAATTAATATTTTTTTAATATTTGTTATTATATTTTGAATCCTATTATAATTATTTACACTCAAGAAAAAACAAAGCAGTTTCAAAGTCTTAAAGGAGGAAAAACAGCAAGATTTCTCAAAAAGATCTGAATGTTTTAGTATTTGTTATTATATTATAAATCCTATTGCCATTTTCTAGACTCTAAAGAAAAGACAATCTCAAAGTCTTAAAGTGGGGAAAAAAAAATGAGACTTTTGAAAAAGATTAATTTTTTTAATATTTGTTATCATGTTCGAAATCATATTATCATTTTCTACACGTTAGAAAAAAAAAAAAAAAGTAGTCTCAAGGTCTTAAAGTAGGGAAAACAGTAAGGTATTTTAAAGACAGTATTTTTTAATATTTATTATTATATTGTAAATTCTATTGCCATTTTCAACACTCCAAAGAAAAAACAATCTTAAGATCTTAAAATAAGGCAAACAACAAGCCCAAATTCTTTGTACCATCAATATTTAATTCTCATAGTTGATTAGTAAGAAGAGGGTTCAGTTTTGTAGTTTTAATTATATCAAATTGTAAAATAAAACTAATTGAACGTGGGTAGAACTTTAATATCAAAGGTACCACCTTATTTAATAATTATAGTTGTGTAAATTAATACAATTTATACCATAGAAATATAACACTTTTTCCTAGCAAGAATATCCCTAATTACTTTCGGTGGTATGCAAAATTTGTGGAAAACAAGTCATCAATTTTTTGATCAGCTTGTGGCAGTGTATTGTACAAATTCGAACCCTTCTTTTAAGAGATTTTTGTAAAAATAATGATATAATTTTTTATAATTTTTTATTAAAAATGGTCATTTTTTCCTATCAATCAAAACTACTATCTTCATAAAGTTTTTTTAATTAATCATATATAATCTTGTGCACATTCACTAGACTTCTTTTATTCAAATCATAAAAATTATATTTTTAATTATAAATTTTTAAAGGCAGAACCCTCAAATTAGCCCCTGACAAATATGGGTAGGGACGAATCCACCCCTCAAAAAAAAGCAGGGACAAATGACACCCCCAAAGTATCGATTTGGTCAAATCGATCATTATCTAACGGGTGA